GAAAGGGCACTGTCTGGAATTTTTATTTGTCAGATATCGCCCATCTGTTTCTCTCCCTACCTTCATGTTTTGCAGTAATTTTATTTTATTTTTTTTTTTAGGATGACAAGTCAGTATAATTCTACAGAATTGGGTTAATCTTCTGCTTTATTATCATTATTTAATTTATAATTTTTTAAATGTATATATATTTTATAATTGATTAGCAGCTGGCAGGAAAACATAAAACCCACAGTGATGATTCAGCCAAATAACCCTCATCTAGATGCAAAGTTATACTTCAGGGCAAAATTAGTAGATACTAACACTTCTTATTAATCAGTTCTAACAATTTTTGCAGTTTCTCACATGCAACAGATCTCCCAAGTAAATGAATAATATAGACTATTTTTAAATGCATTCTAAAACTGAAAAGATTTTGTGTCACTTAAATTCTAGCTTTTTAAAAATAAATAAATAAATATATATATATAGGCAATTTAAAATAGCAGCAGAGTCAGAAAAAACAACAGTTCAAAAAGAAAGTTATTAGAAGTCAAGAAATGAGCAGCTCTTACAAATACTACACAGAATCCATTATCAGCCAAGACCATGACTCCTGTCTGTTCCTTATGCCCATAACTGTGATGTGTTAATAGATAAGCACTTGGCTTTGTTAAAGTTAATAAAAAATAAGGGCAGTAGATGGGTTAGGTATATGAGATTCACAGTCTGGCTAATTAATGGTGTGGTACTGACATATAACAGAGCTCCATTCTAATGCCACTTGTATCTCTTACTGCCCTTGACCCTTGACTGCATCCTCCAGATGCAGTCACTACTGCTGTCATCCCTCATATCCCTTCTCATCGAATTATCATATTTACATGTACTCTGTTTCCTTGGCCTAGATCTACTTTTCCTTGTTTGTTTGTTTTTTTTGTTTTCTTTTCTTTTCTTTCCCCTTTTAGTTTTACAACATTATGTCCTGACCTGCAGCGATTTGCATCTGCTAGCATACTAGCCTGTAAACTGAAAATACTCAATGACTCCAGCAACAAAAGGTCTCAGAAGAATGCTTTCCTACCAGTGTTAGATTTCCATTTATGTCCCCTTTCATTTTGAACTTGATTGCCTGTTTTGATCCTGATTCAGCCATGACTCTTGTCTTCCCCTTTGTTAATAGCTGCTTTGAATGAGCAGAACCCTGGCATGAGGATATCAATAGTTCTTTCTGATGTTAGTCCAAATCACTGATCACATCTCACCTTGCCCTTAAAATGGTTTAAATCTTTTATTGCTGTGATTTACATATTTCAGCTTCTCCTAAATGCTGTATCAGATTCTTTTACCTTTATACACTGTTTTTACTTTTATTTATTTTGCCTTTTGATTACATTCCTCTTAGGAACATAGGACAAAGTTGCACAGGTCATAAAATTCATTTATCCTGTCTTTTCCTGCCAAGTGTGTCATAGAACCACTTTCATAAATCTGCCAACTTATATCTTTAAATACATTTTCTCCTCTTGGTCTTCTAAGAGAAGGCTGTTTTTATGCCTAATGATTAGAAACTGTTCTCCAACCTGATTTATATCTTGCTTACATTTTGTTTCTTTTTGTGACAATTCCATCTATTATCATCACTGATATATTTAGAACTGTCTCACATCTTTCAATTTTCATTTTACTAGGTTAAACAAATCAAAGTTTCCTAATGTTTATATCTGAGATATACCTCCATTCCCCGAGTCTTCTGTTCCGTTTGAGTCTAAATTCATTCTTCTTGAACATGGGTGATCACAATTGCCTGTGATATCCAAAGTGGGATGTAATAGTACAACGGTGTTAATTTTCATATCTTCATGGGAAATGTTTTATCTGATCCTAAGCTTTATGTATCCTAGGCACTAGCTTATTTCATAGATCTATCATTCTGGTGACTCAAAAACACTTTGTGAGTCATGTTCACTCAGGAATTTCACCTGGTTAGAGTCTCTATTGTTAATTTTCATAAGAAGAAGTTACTGCTACTCAGTATGTGCATGATGATGAATCTTGTATTATTGAGTATTAGTATTCTCTAATTTTCTATTACTTCAGTCATCAAGAACAAAAATTGTACACATTTATTATCCTCTGCAATATTCTCAGCAAAACTCATTAAAAAAACCTCTCATTTTTAATGCAAAGTTCGTGAAGATATTAAATGATGTTTGTCCCTGCATAAGCCATTACCTGATTTGACTCACACACTTCTTTCATCCCAGCAGTTCTCACCTCACCCAGTGTTAGAGCTGAAAAGCTTCATACCAATCTCCATTTTGCTAGTCATGGCACTAACTACACCAACAATTTCTTCACCCCATTTCTATGGGTTTGACTGCTTGTGCTCAAGGACACCCATGAACCGGTCTAGCTATGTGTTGGGGCACAGTGACAGATATGCACTGGGAGATACCTTGTTGGGGCTTTGCATGGGTGATACATTTAAGCCTTTGCTCTTGGTCTCTGCCTGTGATCTGCCTGCCTTGCTTTGCAGTGACCCTGATCTACAGAGTTTGCTTCCTGGCTTGACTTCAGAACTGTCTCCTTCTATGAACCAGACTGGAGATTTGGACTCTTGGCTGCTCCTAGTTATTTGCATCAGACCTGCTCTTGTTTTATTTGGGTGCTGTGGAATTGAGCCCTGTTAGTGAGACCAATGCCCTGTCTGTGGTGTTATCTTTACTTTCCCATATTCTCCTTTTCAGGAGCAAGGCCTACTTGCTGCTGCTTAACTGCTGATCAGCATTTTACAGGACAAAATTATTTCCAGTTGTTGAGTTAAGCCAGTAGGTTATCCTAACATATCTTGCCTTTCCTTGTCCTCATACAGTTACACTTAGCAGATATGGTGTATGGTTACAGAGGTGTTAATGTTGGATCTGAGTGGTGATTTAGGTACCTGAGTATGACAACAGTGCAGCTGATCTGGAATAAGTTTTCACAATGGCAACTCATATTAAAGACTACACAGGTTCAACAGCAGGAAAAGCTGATTTGGAGAAAAGGTTAAGTAAATAACAAATGTTGGGTTTAATATTGGTGTAATATTAATATTTTTGGGAAGCAGAGACCTCTACAACCAATCTGCTGTTGATCTGAATAGTTCATGAGTCATTGGGAGATTTTTCAGAGACCTAAAAGGAGGAAAACATACTGGGACAGACACTGAAGTAGTGCTAGATTTGTTTTCAGGAGTAACAGAAACTTTAGAAGCTGCATTGACAACAGTGAAATTGACTCATCTCGGGATATGAATGAAGAGGATGACAAGATCTGAGTGGCATTTGAACACAGAGCCAAAATTATAACTCACTGCAGTCTCCGAAAGAGATGAATCCATGTCTGAGCCTATGACCTAAGATCTGAGGGGACTTCTGCACAAGGCAGAAGGATCCTGCTTAGTAGTTTCTACTCTGTCTCTGGAGTTTTATCTCAAACTCATCCCCTGTGCTTACAGCTCTTGAAACTCTGGGAAGGATTTCTGCAGCTGAGGGGTTCACAACCTATGCTAAGGTAGCTGGCACACAGCAGCCACCACCATGTTTCATTCAATAATCTCAGCATTGCTGCATCTGATGAAAGTGCTTCTGGACTCAAACTGGTGTAGATTTAGGTAAATCCCTACCAATAAAACCAGCACTGAATTCTCCAAATTGCAGGCATGAGTTTGAGGTGAAGTGGTTCTAATAAAGTAATTTTTTTTTCTTTTTTCCTTTTTCTTTTCTTTTTTTTTTAATGTGAAGGGAATTAAAGAGGGAGAAGCAGTCAGGAGAAATTAAGAACAGTTGTTACTGACATGGAAACATTAGATGGACTAAATAGAGTCAGAGAGAAAACTATGAAAGTGCCATAAAAAAATAGCTCCCTTTTTGTCTCTCATATCTGACTGTATGCTTCCATTACAAAGCAAATAGTTCTTGAGATGAAAACTATCAAGATGAATCTTGAATTTGGGTTTCTCTATAAGAAGTGCAGAAGGCCGCTCTTGGCAAGGGGAACTGAGTATTTTCCATTTGCTTGTGACAAATGGCTGAGCCGCATAAGAGCATCATTGTTGTTGCACTCTCCTGGGAGAGAAGGAGCAGTGGCCTCCAGACAGCCGCGGAAGCAGTGGGTGCCCTCTGACAGGCACCAGAACTGAGGCCATGTGGGGTGAAACCACAGAACTGAGCGGCTGCAGTGAAGAGAGAGAACAAGTCTACTCAGCACAGAATAAAAGGCAAGGGAATAAACAGGCTGTGTTGCTGGATGCATCACTCTGTTGTACACAACATGCAATGTCCCCATGAATTCGGGTTTGGTGTAACAAGAGAAATGACAGCAGAAAAGGCTGTGGTTTGAGAAATGAAATAGGCAATGCATCAAATTCAAATGTGTTTTTCTGGACACCAGATGTCCCCATAAAAGTTGTTTAACGTTGACTTCAGCAAGCAAAGATGTGTTTGTGTGCATACATACTGTAGTACTTATATGGGGAAACATGCACAATTATCAAATCTCAGTATGAAACACAAAGAATGCTCAGCTGGAAGCACTGTGCTGAAGGACTGTGGTGATGCAGAGTGGCCGTGCAGTCAGTAGCAGGACTGTGCAGCTTGGCATTGCACCTCCTGCAGACACCGCGTATCTCAGCTGAGCTCTGCTTTTCTAGCAAATGCCATCCATTATCTCCTTCTCCAATAAGCTTACAAGCAGGCTCGCAGTCTTGTTGTGTATTTTCTTCCATTCTCAAAATGACTTCCGAGATAGCCAGTCTTTTTCTATCTTTTAGATAACCTGATTTAGATAACCAGGAGGCCGGGTGGGCTGCGAGAGCCGGGCACCAGCAGCCGCAGTTACGGCACGTGCCTCCCACGGCGCGCGGCCCTCGGCTGCCCCGCAATGCGCAGCTGCCCCCGGGGCTCGGCGGCCCCTTTGGCTTCTCGCGGAGCCGTCCCGCGGCGGTGGGGCGGAGAGCGGCGGGCGGGGTGGAAGGGGCAGGGGTGTGTCCTGCTCCTTGTCCGGGGTACCGGGGCCCGCTCACGGCTCTCGGGTAGTTCACTCGCTTGTCGGGATGGGCCGGCAGCTCGGCCGCCCGGCACCGATGGTATGGGAAAGTTTGCCGTTCCTCCTGCTCCTGGCTGCTTTCTGCAGCCGGGGCCAGCCGCCGCCGGCGCCGCCGCCGCAAAGAGGTACCGGGGAGCGGGAAGAGTGACGAGAGAGGGAGCCCCGAAGTGACAGCAGCTCGCGTCTCGCTCCGGGGCCGAGGGAGACATGGGGTGGGGAGCGGCCGTGACAACGGGGAGAGCGATGGGAAGCCCCCAGTCTGTGAGATCGGCGGGCACTGCTTGCTGGGACGTGGTCGGACCGAGAGGAGCTTATAGGAGAGCCTTAAAAACCATCTTAAGCTCTCAGTGACCCTTCTGGTGCCTTGATGTTCTTTACGTTTTTAGCCCAGCTAAAAGCACTTCAGTAAGGATAGACGATTGGTGCAGTAAAATAGAGTCATGGGAATAGCGTCTGACTTCGAGTAGTATGTGATGCTGTGCTGTAGGCTGAATGCTTGGCATTAACGAATTTTTTGTCAGTTTAGGGTGTATTGAACTTTAAAAATATGATGCACTATTATTTTTAAGGGGGGGGGGGGGGGGGGGGCAGGGGGAATGTCTCAAGTTCTTTAATACTAATCTTACTGCATGAGGATAAATGACCATTGATGAACTATATCTCTGTGGATGCTAGAATAACCCAGGGAGAAAATCCCTCCCAGAATTACACTTTGGTTAGTCGATGAATTAGTGGCAAACATGAAAGACTGAAAAATACTGATTTGGCTTTTTTTCATTTTTTTCCCAAACTTGTATAGTGAAGGGATGTGATCATCTTAAGTGAGAAAAAGGGAGTCTTGAGCTTTCATATGCTGCACTGTTGCTGCACTCTTATAAGTTCTGGTGATTCAGAGAGGAGCTCTAGTACATCTAATTTCATGTTAATAAAGTGATGATGGGACATAATCACAGATGAGTTCAAGTGCTGGCCTGCCAAATTTTAAAGACATTTACTGTCTTCTGAATTTCTTTCTGAGATCTGTCACAGCTGCTAGGCGGTGCTATCACTGTGTAGAACTCAGTGTTGCCCAGGCAAAAGGTACTGAATTCCTTTGCAGTGCAAAAAGTTTGACAAGTGTGACTTCATCAAGTCCTAGAGGAGATATATGATGTACGAAAGTATTACAAGACCCTGGATTTATACCTTCAGACTTAACAACTCTTGTTTTTCCAGCTACAGTTATTTGGCAATACCCGTATTGCTGGATGGTGTTACTCTAATTGTTAGCACCAGTCAGATGTCTGCGGAGAAGATTATGTAACAGAGCTGCAATGCTTTGAAAAACAGAATTTGAGACATCACAGTGAATTCCCATGTTGTTTCTCAGAACAGAACAGTTCAAGAACATTTTGCACCTCAAACATGAGAACAATCTGTAATTCTGTGGGTTGTTTTTATTTCTTCAGTTTTTAAGTCAGTAGAAGATTTATTGTGGTCAGAAACCTGGAGTGAATTTTAAGTTTTTGTTTCTGCTACATATCTTGTTCTACTCTTTGTATGAATGCTAACTATTCAAGTAGAATTTCTCATAAAATAGTAGTATGGGAACCAAAAAGACGTGCACATCCTCTAATGTTGTTTCTTAAAGATACACCTAACTTATGGCCCTGGCAAACTTACTGAAGCACTATATAATGTTACTTTGAAAAGTTAACCCTTGGTGCATGCTCTTTTACATGAGATGTGAGAGACAAAGTAGCAAGAGTTTAGAAAGGAATAACCAATATTAGGGATGGGGATAGGAAACTGGTATACTGTGCTGTAACATGATCTGTGGTGTCAGCTGCTGAGAGCAACGGAGATAACTCAGGAAGTGCAGGTGTTCCTTCACATCACAAAAATCCTAAGTGTAAGTTGACTCTTAACAGGTGATGTAGATTAGAAGCTCATGAAGTCAAAGGGAAATGGGGGGTGAACATCAATAATATAGAATAATAACATAAAATTAGCAGAATGTCACAGTGGTTGGTTGGTCAATGTTTTTTAGTTTGTCTATGGACATGGGTTATTAAAGTGAGTTTTCAGAATTTAGTTTAAAACTGCAGTATGGTATGTTATATCTATGCTCTTTTATACACATTCATTCTATATGCTAATAAGTAGCTTTGCAGGTAAAGATACGGTGTGGTTATTTGTAACATTTTACATTCAAATTTTTGTCCATCCTGATTCCATCTAATTTAATAATCGCTTGAGAAAGTGAAAGCAGAGTATTTAGGTGGATTTTAGGTTTAAAATAGGAGAAAGGAAAACGTAATGTTTAAAATTCTGGATAAGGTGTTGGAAATGGGTAGAATTGTCCAGTCTGACTAGTGCCATAAATCTCCATTTTGTGTACACACTTTGACTTGAATAAATCACAGCAAAACTGAGAGGTGGATCTTGTACAAGAATGTGAGACTTTCCCTAAGCAACAAGTAAAAATGTAAGATATATTTTAATATAAAAATCCTTAGTATTCATTTTTCTTCTTACAGCTTTCTCTTTTTCCTCTTTTTCCTCTTTTTCCTCTTTTTCCTCTTTTTCCTCTTTTTCCTCTTTTTCCTCTTTTTCCTCTTTTTCCTCTTTTTCCTCTTTTTCCTCTTTTTCCTCTTTTTCCTCTTTTTCCTCTTTTTCCTCTTTTTCCTCTTTTTCCTCTTTTTTTTTCCTTTTTTCTTTTTTCCCCCCAGGAGTCTTTCTTACTAAACTTGAAATACTAAAATCAGAACAGTGAATCTTTAACCTGTTCTACAAATCCCCTTTAAAATGATACAGCAAACAATCATTTTTAATTAGTTCAAGCTGGAGGAAGTTATTCACCCACACATGTTCTGATTTCTTATCCAACTACGTGGACTGACGTTTTTTGGAGATTATCACATTTTGGAATAAAAGGCAGTAATGAATTCCCAATGTAAAGATTTTTCGTTTGTTTTTCCTGAAGTCCAGACTTGTAGGTCAGGAACAGTAATAGGATGCAAAGACAGGCTAATATAAAACAGTTTGTATAGCTGATTATTTTCTGTTCTTTTCCTATTTTTATATTAGTTAATAAGCCCATACCTAGTGAACATTTTTCTTTCTGAATGAGAGCAGTGTCCATAGTATCTGAGAGCTCTTACACCACAGGCTATTCTAACATTAGTACAGCCAACATCTTGCTTGCAGATGTCAAATACAGACTTAAGTTGTTTGCTAAAATTTATACTGACTCCATTCATATCTTCAAAATAGGAAAGAGATTTCCTTGATGCTTGCCAATAAAGTTAGTTAATGAGTGGACTCCTGCTGATGACTATGTATTATTCTCTTATACCAGCTGCTGTAGTTGCTGGTTGTCTCATAGTTTCAGCTTTAATGCAGCTTTGTTATTCTTAATCCAAATGTATAAATAAGAGAGATAATGAAGAAACTGGTAATGAATTTTGGACTGCTTCTGTACCATGGTTAAAGTGGAGGTTAGACCTTACTTCTTTTCCATTTTTAGGATTTATTTTGGCTAGGAAGTGATAGGATTTCCAGACACAGTATCTTGAATTATTGTGATATTTGTCCTGAGGAATAAGGAAGGTGTCTCAGGATTGTTGAACAAAAAACAAAAGATACAGCAGTTACTGCCCTCAACTTTTTGATAGGTTCTCTAATAGTTGCTCCATAGCATCACACGGATTTGCTTTAGACTGTTCTCCCTGCCAGATTCCTCTAGCAGACATTATCTTTGAATCAGACCTTGTAATAACATTAAACTCTAAAGCAGCTGTAGAAGTATTATGCCAGGGAGCTCTTGTGAAACCTCGGGAAGAATGATGAATATTCCTACAGAGTGGATTATCCAAATGCCATTACAACCCTTTCTCCAGTCACAACCCACATGTGCTTCTACTTGTGTCATAACGGAGCTAAGGTACGATAAAAAAGATTACCAAATGTGAACAAAATGTTTGTTTTTAACATTATTTTTATAACTATCAATTTTTATAGCAAATGGACATATCTTGTAATTCTTCACCTATCTGATGAGTAGGGCAGTGTTTGAGGTCAGTTAGAAAGAATAATTTTTCATCAGAAGAGTTTAGAGAACAGTTTTAAGTGTAATGTATTTTTTCATGCTACTATAGGAAAGTGGAACAAAGTTGTGGGTAGGCAGTGAAAAGTTCAAGAATAATAAATCAGAGGCACTGGTTTTCTGCACGCTTCCAGTGAGAGCTGAATAAGGATTTATTTTGCTTTTCTACACATATACAACCTCCTCAGATAAAACCTTAGAATTTTAGATGCAGTTTTCACTTGGACAATCTCTGTGTTGTGCTGAAAGACGTTGAACACAACTGTATGATTCCTCTGTTCATTCTGGAACAACAGACTATAAGTCTGTTCTACAGAAAAATATGGATAGTTCTATTATAAGGGAATGCATCTATATTAATTTCTTTGGAGTGTATTGTGCACTGAGAATGAAGAATAATTCTTGTACATTTGGTATTGTACTTCTAGGCTGGGAGAAAAAATGAATTGAATGGCATCATTTATATAAATTATTGTGCTTCTAAATATTTATGATAAAATATGAGGCTGTTTTGAACATAACGCCTCCTATTTTTTTATGTTGGCTCATGGTGTCAGAGTTGGATGTTGGTCTCATGGTAGTAGAGGCTGAACCTTCCTGCCAACGTTCCATTACGTGTTGTTGCCATGAGACAGATGGCAGTGGAGGGGCAGTCAGATTGAATGCTGTCTGGTATGGAAGTGGGTATGAAGTAAAGGCATGTAATTGAATTCTTCCATGCAGAAAAAAATGGCACCCACTGACATTCATCGACACTTACTGCATGCCTGTAGAGACCAAACAGCTGATATGAGCACAGTGAGGTGGGTGGTGAAATTCAGCAGTGACAACAACAGCAGATTACCTTCGCTTGTACCAATTTGTACAAGCGCAGCATGCAGGCTCTTGTTCATCCCTGGCAAAAATGCATAGGTAATGGTAATGATTATGTGGATAGTGTTTTGTAGCTAAGAATTTGTTCAGTCAAGCAGTGATATTGTACTCTTTGTATCTGTTGTAGTTTCCATAGAGATAAATAGGACACATTATTCTCAGATC